GTATGTGGTATATGAGTGGAAGAGGCATGGTGCGCTGTGGACGATGACGGAATGTGAAAATAACAACTAACCAAATAATAATTTTTTTAAATTTATTATAACTTTTTTTTATAAATTATATATACGACGAATTCTGAAAATATTAGTCAACAATATTAATCACTTACAAGGGAAACTAGGGAAGTGTGACTCGCCAATTTTGAAATAAACTAGTGGGATGCATGCCTTATGAAGAATAATTATAGGGGGCAACATTCGTTTCGGACCATAGAAGGTCCTATGAGAGATAAAAAATTATTCAATACATAGAAAAATCGGTATTTTATTACTTCAATGCAGACTATTAGTTATCGTAATTATCTCTTACTCCAATTAATTCCGTGGTAATTTCAAGTACTATAATTATGCATATTTATTGCCAAAATTGATTTCGAAAATTTTATATATCTGTAATTTTTCAGAAATACCTGTTAGGTTAATTTAGAAAAAAAAAATTGGAATCAAATTTTTAAAAAAAAAATTTTTTTTCAAAAAAATTTTAAATATAAAAACAAGTGAATATTCATTTATATGAGAGTTGAAATATAAGTCGAAATATAATACGCATTTTCCCAAACTGATTTATAAAAAATTAATTTTTTTCATATTGTTAGATCTTGCAAAAAAATCTGAAATAATTTATGTGATTGCATAAAATTAAATTGCATGTTTAAAAATATTATCAAATTTTTTCGGAGGTAAATTTTAACTTAAAATTTTTTTAATATTTCAATTCGATTTTTTTCATAAAAGATCAACTGTACTGTATTCACAAAATTTGAGGCATTCTCCAATCTTAACGCATAGGTTAGAGTAGCCCCGCCATATAGAATAGTACGGACCCAAAACGTGTAGTCTCTTTTTATATGGTGGCGCTACTCTAACTCTATGTTTCAAGATAGGAGGATGCCAACTTTTAAAGTTAAATATTTCAAAAATTAGCTAGGATATCAGATATAGAAATAATTGTATGAATAATATAATAAAAATAGCAATGTTTTGACAAAATATTGAACAATTCACTGGACATAGGTATCAACGGCTTTTCCACCTTAAAGTGACAAATTACCTCAAATTTTGTGTATTGTCAGTTAATCTTTTATGAAAAAAATCGAATTGAAATATTAAAAATTTTGAAAGTTAAAATTTCCCTCTGAAAAAATTTTATGATATTTTTAAACATGCAATTTAATTTTATGCAATCACATAAATGATTTCAGATTTTTTTGCAAGATCTAACGATATGAAAACAAATTATTTTTTATAAATCAGTTTGGGAAAATGCGTATTATATTTCGACTTATATTTCAACTCTCATATAAATGAAATATTCACTTGTTCATATGTTCACTTGTATTTATATTGAAAATTTTTTTGAAAAAAAAAAAATATTAAATTTAAAAAATTTGATTCAAATTTTTTTTTTCTAAATTAACCTAACAGGTTTTTCTGAAAAATTACAGCTATACAAAATTTTCGAAATCAATTTTGACAATAAATATGCGTAATTATAATAGTACGTGAAAGTACCACAAAATTAATTGGAGTATGAGATAATTACGATAACTAATAGTCTGCATTGAAGTAATAAAATACTGATTTTTCTATTTTTTGAATTATTTTTTTTATCTCTCATAGGACCTTATATGGGCCGAAACGAATGTTGCCCCCTATAATTATTCTTCATAAGGCATACATCCCACTAGTTTATTTCAAAATTGGCGAGTCACACTTCCCTTGTTTCCCTTGTTAGTGCAATGGAGTGTACAATATTTTTTGTCATTCCATCTTTAGCTAACACAAATAAACTGGATGTTTTGCCCACTCGAAAGCATGCCACGTAAAATTGTCCGTGTGAAAAACATGGTGTGCTCAAATCAAAGCCACAAACAGACATTGTCTGGCCTTGAAATTTATAAGTAGTCATTGAAAATACCAATCTAAAGGGGAACTGAATGCGTTTAAATTGAGGAGTATAAACACTAAAACTGTGTCATGAGATTTATATATATAGTANATATATATTAAGATTATACATATAATCATTATCGTCAAGTTAAACATAGAACTTATACTAGTTTTTGTTTTTTTTAACATGCATGTCGGTGATGTTGGCTAATTGGTAAATTCTGCATTTTGCAAATTACCAGCCTTACTTTGCTGTCCTTCTTTTCCTAGCTTTTTAGAAGAATAATGCTTCTTTGCAATGCGCTTGCCAAGTTAATTAGAAAAGTGTTCAGTATTTTTTGATTTTCTTAACAGTTTTTAGGCTTTTTACAATGAGCCCACATAACTTTAGTCTAATTCGAGAATATTTCATAAATTGCGCAACTAGTCTGACTTATTTCTAGCAATTTGCAATGAGTTAATAAAGCCCAAGCAAATTTAGATTGATTCTGTATTTCTTTACACAGTTTCTAATTGTCTTTAAGGCATCTGGGCTGTTGTAATTAGCCAAAAGAAATACCAAACTGAATAAAAAATATAGCTAACTTTTGTAATGAGCCTGGTGTTCTGTAGAATGTCGGATGCAGGTTTTCCAATTAATTTACGATTTGCATAAACGACTTCAAGAGTTTTCGTGTCTTCTGAGTCTTCTCGAAATTAAAAGGCTACGAAAGGCGAATGTTCTATATCCATAATTATTTTTTAATAATGACAAAACCAGTTTTTTTAAATGGAAAACACGAAATAGACCTTTAAGAGAGAGAGGGGGGGGGGACGCTTTTGGCATGTTAAACGCATAAGCATTTTATAAAATTTATGGACAGGATTTTCGTAATCAGTTCGAACTTTGCTTTTAAACTTTCAGGAAATACGTTGTTTCTTTTAATAGATAAGAAAGAGAAGTTAAAAACAAAAATTGTTGTCATGCGCAAAAGGACGTGTGCTTATTCATTTACAGGAAAATATCATATTTTAAATTCAAAAACTTTATTATTTTGCCCTTTTTACCGAAACTCCATGATTAATTTGTTATTTTGTGCCTATTATTCCATTTATTGACTTAGGTACATTTATTTTATTATTTTCGTTTCGTTAATCTTCTGACAATATAATTAAAGCAGTTCAGCAACTTTTATTCAGTGCATCAGGTTCTATACATGCGGTCTGACGCCTGAGAAGCAAACTTTTTATTGCAAGCATTATCTCTTTAACTTCCATCTTAATTTTCGAAAAACTCTGATTATTATAACGAAAATCAACTTTAAATCATTCAATTATAACAAAAATAGTGTTTACGGTGCCTGATAAAATTGCGATAAAATGAAATTTTTGAGCTTTCTTTCCCCTTTAACATTGAATTCGGTGCAGAACAGCCGCGTCCGGCTCTTAGAGGCTTTGGGTCTTCAAAGTTACATTTGTTACTGTTTGTGCTGTCGATAGAAAATTAATTTTTAAAGCTTAATTTCCTGAACTTTTCTTATGCTAAATTCGGTCAAATATTTTAAAATCGATGAATAATAAAGAAGTTTTTTTTTTTTGACGGGAAAATAAAAAACTAAAAATATTTATTAAAAGGGGTAGGTTTTTTTTCCGTTTAATTTTATTATTATTAATCATTTTTTAAAGTTAAATTGACAGTTTCTATGCATCAATCAACCATTAGAGATATAAATTATTAAGTTTATAAATTATTAATTTCTTATCAATCCATTTTAAACAACAGATTTGACAGAGTATAGTCTTTAGAGCAATAAAGTTAGTTTTAAAGTAAAAATATGAGGTAGATATTTTTTGTAAGTTAGTGGCTATGTGGGATATGGTTAGAATGTTTTTTAAAAAAAATTTGTTTTGGAGGAATTTGTATTTTAACCTTGAATTAAGTTCATTAAGTCCATGTCATAGTGTCGAGGTTAGCCATTTCGCAAAATACTTGTAAATGCCATGAATAATATTACAGATTTTAAAATTATACGAATTATTTCTACGTGATACATAAAACTGAAAGTGTGATGCTGTTTTACCCAATTATCTTTTACGAAGGTTAAAAAAAACTCGCGTTCATGAACTTCAAGATAATAAAATTATTAACTGCATTGCAAATCAATCTCCTGTAGAGATTTCAAAGAGCATAAGAAAATAAGATTTCACCGAAAAGAAATTCGAGAATACTAGAATAGAGATGCGAAAATGACGCTATTGCTGTTGATAATTGCTTAAAAAGTTGCAATTACATATATTCTTATGAAAGAAAAGCTCCGTAAATGGAGTTTATATATAGTATATATATTACTCCATTTACGGAACTTTTACTACATTCTCGGAACTTTTTAAAAATTTGTCATTTTCTAAATTTAAAAAGTCACGGTTCAACCCGTTTTTAATTTTATCAGTGCAATAAAACTATAGATTTTAACTCAATGAACTTAAAAGGATTATTTAGTCGATATTTTATGATACAATTAATATTTATGGACACAATAAATTATATTAATAATAAATTAGATTAACAATACGTCATAATAGTTTAATTGATTAGTCCTTCATATTCGATTATAATGCAGAATTATATGAAGGTTACAGAATTCAACATTTGTTTCCTAGCTAAATCCTTTTACTTTAATTTCATTTAACTATTTGAATTAATTGTTGAATAAAAAAATTATTTTTTTCTTTTCATTTAAATAGATTTTTTCACAAATCGTTCTGATAATTTTTCCTTATATAAATATAAATCCTATATAAATTTAAAAAAAAAAAAAAAAAAACTCTTTACAGTATTAATAATACATTTATTATAACTACTTTTTTTAATTCGTCTTTCTCTATTAAAGAAACTAAAAAAGAGATCAACTAGTTGATAACCAAACCAGTTTTATTCCAAAAATGAAAAAAAAAAAAGTATTATTTACACTCAATATAGGCGGAAACACAGATTGTTACTTTCCTTATTGTTATCTTCTTACCGTTCAGTATTCGCGTAGAGAGGAAAAATCTGTCATCCAATAATTAGCTCACGTATTATCAGTCTCTAAACTTGGCGTAACAGGTTTCTCTTCATTATGACTTTCGTTTTCAGCTGTTTTGTCCCTCGAAACTAAACAGAAACCTTGCTGCTCTTAATTGCTGGATGGGGTGATGAGAGATCTGATAACCTCCATAGAGGGCGTTGTATTAGCGTCAAAAATGGCGACTTCTAATATCAAGCTGCCGCGAAGGCTCCCTTTATTAATTATTGATGGAGTATTATTTCCTGGGGCATCGATTAGAATACCTGTATCTAATGAAAAAAAGTATGTACATTTATAAATTTTGTTATAATATACATCGCATTGACTTACGTAGCAACATAAATGTCCAAAAGTGTCCTGGAACCGTACGGACTTACTATACAGCTGTGTGTGCGCACATGTTTATTTTGACAGGCAAACATAAACAATCAAAATAACGGCGGCTCACAAATTTTTCTTCTCAATGTGTTTTTATTACGGAAGTTTATTCAAGATTTAGTTATCAATTCTTTTGAGAATCTCTAGCTTTTTGCATTTTAATTTGGGAATATTTCGTAATCATGATTTAAATAAATAGTTTTGATTTTTTTCTCTCCCAAATTTGATGACGTCCTCGAGTTGGCTGTGTTAAAAATTTAACATTATACTTGTAATTAATTCTTTTGTTTAAATTATGCAATTGGGAATGGCCACTATACCTTTTATATTGATTATGAGGGGGATTAAAAAATAGTCCACTTTTTAGTTTTGTTGTAATTTTATAGCTGCAGGTTGAAAACTTTTTTAAAATAGCAAATATTTATGAAAGTAAATTCTATATTTTGCAGCTAAAAGTGGGAAATATTCATTACTATGTTTATCCTGTTGATTAAAACAAAACTGTATTATTCTTCCTCCTTTCTTATATTTTTTGAAATTCAAAAATATTTTGCTTCTTTTCTCAAAAAGTAAGTTTTAGAAGTATCAAATTAGAAATTAATTAAAATGACTTGATAATAATAATGTAAGAAGCTATATCTAAGAAGAGATGAGCTAGAATGAAAGAAGTATGTATTTAAGATATTAATTTCTCAAAATAGACCTTTCCCCTCTACCTTCATATACTGGGGAGATTTCCGTATCGTGTTCTGTGGAGAAATAATCGCCAAATCTTGGCAACTTGGTAGGAGCCCACGAGAAACACCACAGAAAGGGACCGTCTCAAAGGGTATAACTCGTAGCCACCCCCGGACAAACTGCATATTTTTTAAAAAAAATTTGCTATTTGGCACCTTAGTGATTGTAGCTGACGGCACAGATCATGATACAGAACAACCTCCCATTTACTTATGTAAATTTTAATGAGTTTAATAATTTTAATAATAAATATTTACAAATCTTACACAAGCTCTCTAAGTGTTCCTATTTATTGAAAGAAAACAGTGATAAAAACCAAATAAAATGTCTTGGAAATGGGAAATATTTATTATTAAATAAGATTATCTATGCAAAATTACCCAAAAGAAAGATACTGTTAAAATTCGAGCCCTTTTGTAGCTATGATGCTATCGTGCTAAAAGTTTTGTGCTTGAAAGTAAAATTTACCAGCAATGTCTTTGTTCGCAATTGAAGCACTTGAATCAGGGTTGGATTTTTGATGTCAAAAACCTATCAAAAAGTGTTACAAACCTGTCGATTAGTGTTAAAAACGTAGAAATCTGTCAAAAAACTGAGTCAAGTTTCTTTTTTGTCATTGAAGATATTTTATTAGATATTAAATCATGCATTATATGCTACTATAATTAAGATTTATATTTTATATCATTTACATAATATATAGCCAAAATTATTGAAACTATTAATTGTTTTTTTTTTTAAACATGGTACTCTAGATCAATAATATTTACTTTAAGATCAATAATATTTGCTATATTGTAACTATTCAGTTTATATTATAATTAATAACTATAAGTTGTTAATTATTATTAATCTAAATACTGGTTTTAATTCTTTTATGCCTCAATTTAGGCAGATTTTTTAGATTAAGTAAAACTGAAGTCTTAGTCAATAATTGTCTGATCTCGACCTATAAATATATTTTCTTCATTCTTAATATTTGTTATTACTTATATTGCAGAATATGTCTAATCATTTGAACCAGGTTTTGAGTGAAATTCAGTCTCCCGCAGAGAAATGTTAGGTTTAAAAAAATCTACAATTTTTTTTATTTTTAAAAAATGTGACACTTAGCAAAATTTTTCCTTGTTAAAAAAACATTAAATGTGAATTTGTGTATTTATTAATTTAAATTTCTTAAGTTTAAGAGTGGGACTTATAATTGAATGAATTATAACTATTTCAATATATTTTTTAACACATAAGCTTGTTTATTCAAAAATTGTGTAAAATCAAATGAATTTTTTTTTTCCTATACAAACTTTACTTTCCAAAAATATTTTAAAATGTTATTATGCTAAAAATAATAATAAAAAAAAACTCTTAAAGTTTTTTGGGGGTCGGGAATTTTTGATCCCAAATTTTTTTTATTCTGAAGATATATTAGGGTCTGAGAATTTTTTGCACTTCTGTTTACATGTACGTGAATATTTCCAATAAATCGTTCCTATAATATATTCCCCAATTAGTAAACTAATTATAATTTATAAAACTATAAATGTTTGTTTAAAAGAGTTAATTTTTCTTATCAATCAATTCAAGGGTTTAATTAAATTACTATCAATATTTAATACAGTTATAGGAATAAATTTCATAATTGCATGTTATTTTATTCTGCTATAATATTATTAGTATGACTACATTTTAATGCATGCAGCTGAGCATCAATTGAAAGAATAGTTTCGAATTTCAGTTTTATTCATACAAAACTGAAATATGAACTTGTAGTATAGAGAACATTAAAAGAATTTTTTTGTAATCGCATGCTTGGGGAAAAGGAGTTAAAAGAGGAATAAATGAAAATTGATTTTACATATAATGAATAAGATGATTAAGTGTTTTTGTATTTTGATTTTCAATAATTAAACAGATTGACACATTGTAATTTAACACATTTTCATTTATAATTATTTAGAATTTTCGCCACCAAAATTTGGTTTTGTGACCGTAGTTTTTAAAACAAAAAGAGATAAATGTTAAAATATTTCGAGCAGGGTTGGGTTTTTGACGTCAAAAAGTGGTTTTTGACATGACAAGGGTATAGTACTGGTTTAAACCGTCAAAAACCCGTCAAAAATGTCAAAAACTGAAGTTTGCCAAGAAAATATATAAACTTCAAAACTACCAACAGTTGCCATGCATTATATTGAAATTTAATTATACTATAAGTAATCAGCAGGTTTTAAAATATTTTTTAATTAAAATTAAGGTAAAATAACAGATTTAAAATCTCAGAAATTTATATTC